TTGGATGTTTCATACATGGTGAATTTACTAATAAATCAATGCATGAACTCATCGTTGCTGTTAATACTAAATCCCTGCAGTTTTAATACATGATCCGCACGCGGAGCATGTATTAAAAACGGCACTGTACCCCAGCCGATCATATTCCCGAGAAGAGGCTGGGGGTCGGAGTATGATGTTTTGACACGCGCCCCATCAAAGCATCAAGTACCTCCTGCATTGAGACTGGCCGAGGCGCGGAAAGCTCCCATTCCAGTCACCGAGGCGAAAACCTGGAGCAGAGGGGGCGACGGCATCCTGCCACCAGTGTCAGCACGCAGACGGAGCACGAGCCAGACATGCTCCAGGCATGCTTCGTAGTGAGAAAGATGTCTGCTGCCAAGGGAGCCCCAGCGAGGATGTCCGCTAACCCAACAGCCATTGGCAACCGTTGGGGCCGGGCTCGCCGGTGGTAGCAGAACGATCTGTCTGCTCCGTTCTGGGAATGGGAAAGGGCCATGGAGATCTGAGCCCAAGGCAGAATCGAGACAAAATCAGACCGACATCAATCGGTCAAATCTGTTATAATCGGCGGCTCTGGAGGATCGCTCTGGACAGATTTATCTCGATTCGAGGCCTGCCTGATCCCTCCCGAAGCATCTCCCAGGATCGCAAGACAGACCCCTGCTGTGGCAACCCCAGACGTAGAAGAAGAGACAACTGCATACACTGAAAATTTTGAGGGTCCGCGTGGGTTTGCGCCGCCAGGGGGGCTCCAGCGTCGGTCCAAGAAAACGAAAACCGCGAGGAGCTCCGAAAGTCTGTGCTTATGTGGCTTGCTGTGACCCCTGGGCCCGGACCACCGAAATCCCCCTCGAGCTGCCTTCTGGGATCGCAAGACGAGCTCCATGTGGCGGCCCCGGGTGTCCCCGAGGCGGCTCGGCTCGGCTCTCCAGCTTGGAGGGAAATCGCGAAGCAAATCCAAATGATTATGTTAATCTCTACGCGCCGCCACGCTGGTCCCGGGCAGGCTATGCTGTCCGGCGAAGGGGAAGACGAGGGGAGAAGCAGGCAGACGACGACGACGACGACGACGACGACGACGACGACGAACACGCAGGCGAGAGGCAGGGGCCAGCAGGGCGGGCGGGCAGGCGGAAGGGGGGCTGGGCCAGCTTGAAGGACTCGCCCATCTGCTTCCTGAGGTACGGGTAGGGTGTCCGGTTGTCGCCGGCCAGCGACTTCTCGTCGACCTGGCGGCGCCCGCGGGACCGCAGTTGGGCGGCGACGGGGCTCTGCCGGAGGCGCCCCAGACAGGGCGGCGTCCACGAGGGGGGGGTCGCAGAGCACGGTCCGCGGCAGGTGCGCGGCCCAGGGAGGGCAACAGACGTACTGAGGAGGAGGAGGAGGAGGAGGAGGAGGGAGAGAGGAGGAGGGGAGGCGGCGGCGGCGGCGGCGGCGGAGGAGGAGGAGGAGGAGGAGGAGGAGGCGGCGGAGCAGGAGTGACCCTGGGCAAGCGCGACCTCTGGCGCACGGCTTCTGGGGGGCCGCGCGGGGCCCAGCACGCAACCGCGCAGGGCGCTGCGACCGCGCCGCGTTCGCGGAGCGGGGGGCCCCAGTGGGCCCGCACCAAAAGGTCACCCCTGCGGAAGGGCCACTCTTAACGGGTTCCTCCTCTACCTCCTCCTCCTCCTCCTCCAGCCTCCTCCTCCTCCTCCTCCTCCTCCTCCTCCTCCTCCTCCTCCTCCTCCTCTCTCCTCCTCCTCCCCTCCTCCTCCTCCTCCTCCTCCTCCTCTTCCTCCTCCTACCTCCTCCTCCTCCTCTCCTCCTCCTCCTCCTCCTCCTCCTCCTCCTCCTCCTCCGCCTCCTCCTCCAAGCCTCCTCCCTCCAGCCTCCTCCTCCTCCTCCTCCTCCTCCTCCTCCTTCCTCCTCCTCGCCTCCTCCTCCCTCCTCCCCTCCTCCTTCTCCTTCTCCTCCTCCTCCTCATCGTCCTCGTCCTCGTCCTCCTCCCTCTCCTCCTCCTCCTCCTCCTCCTCCTCCTCCTCCTCCTCCTCCTCCGCTCCCTCCTCCTCCTCCTCCTCCTCCTCCTCCTCCTCCTCCTCCTCCTCCTCCTCTCCTAGTCGACGATGCGAAGAGGGGGCCATGAGTCCGGGGAGATATCATGGCCCCGGCCATGGTGCCCGCCCCCCCTCCCGAGCAGTCACCCCTCCCCTGGCCACCCCCAGCTCCGGGGTAATTCGGGGAAACTCGAGGTGGCCGCGAGCAACGTGCAGGGCACTGGCGTCAAACGGACGGGATGGCCGCTTGACATCTTCACAAGATTGACTACCTCCCAGACCACCCCAACATAACCCGAAGACCCGAATGTAGGGCTGGGGGCGGTACGGTCAAAAATACATGTTTTTTCAATGTTCCCCAACCACCCCTCAAAACAGGGCCGCATAGAGCAAATTGTGGCCTTCAGGCTGGGTTGGGGTGGTTTGGTGGGCGGGGGAAAAATCAAGGCTCACACTGGTTTCGG